GAATATGTCTATTCTTTCCCGAGGTTTTAATTGATTTTTGGGTGCTTCATGTATAGGACGAAAGTTAGTCCAAACCCTTTCAAATGATTGTTCTTCCTCCGGTGTACCACAGAATTGTACAAATGATTGTTGTAACGTTTTTGAGTAATTTTTTATAAATGCTGTTGAATTTTGTCCCTGAAAATCTAGTTCACTCCCTGTTCCGTATCTTTTGATTTCTTCTTTTAAAGGGTTCTTGTTTTCTTCGGTATCTACACCAAGGTATTTGAGTTTGTTTGGTTTTGTTTGTGATATTGTCGGTTGGTCTTTCATAGGTGCTAAATGTGTTGAATTGTGAGGAAATGGGTGTACACTTGGTAAGGTAGTGTTTTGATTCTGTGGGATGCATCCACTTTCGAACATTTTGTTTTGTAAGGTGTTGTTGGCTGCTTGTATCGATTGAAATGGTGGTATTTTCACGCCTAGAATTGTATTGAGAGTTGGGCGATAATTCATCCAATTTTCGATTAGTTCTTCTATTGGTGCTACAACTATATTAGTGATTTCGTCTTGTAGTAATTCGATATTTTGTTGAGAAGTTACTTCCAGTGTATATTTATCAGTTGTAATTAGCATAGTTAAAACTTCAGACAAATTCTTTTGAATGTTTTCGAATGTGTTTGTTTTATTTGGTTCGTTTTGCACTTGAATTGCCCTATCGGCTTGTTTGATGTTTTGAACGATACGTATTAGCAATGATACTAGTATATGTTTTACGTTTATGGTTGGTATAGTGCTATGATATTCTTGAATGTGTTCATTGTGTATTTCGATTGGTTCTACTTCCATTGGTTCTTGTTCCGAATCGTTATTTTGTATTTCGCTCTGATTTTGCGCGTTTTCTTGGTTTTCGTTTGATTCGTTATTCGGAACTTGTTCATCATTTTCAACGATTTCAACTGAATTACTAGGTGGATTTTCGATCAAATCTTGACTCACGGTTGGGGGCTCTGGAGCCCCCCTGCTTACTGCTTGACGTTTCAGATGACCCATTTCGTTGGTTGACGTCGTAGATAAGGCTTGACACTGGCTTTCCTTTGATGTACGAACTGATGCGACTTGCTTTTTCGCGCTTCAAGTATGGCACTTTTTTCTTTTTACTAGCTGATACTTTTTTCCAATTATCTTTATATTTTTTCTTTAAGGCTTTTCACTTGCTTTTCTTTGCTTTACGTATTTCAATCTTTTTATTTAGGGATTCTTTAGTTTGAACTGCTTTTGATTGTTATATGTATTATTAGGGGATCGATTACTTTAAAATGCTCTGCTACCACTTTTGTGGCGCACAGGCCACAAAGAATGCATTAATCCAGCCTTTTATACTTTTCTATTTTACTTACCGTTTTTTTACTTTGTGTTTGTGGCGGCCCCTTGTGCCGTCCCTCGAGGAGCCATTCTCGAGGTTTTCCTTTTTACGTTGTTTATATAAAGAAAATCACAAGTTGTAAATAGATGCTTACTGTTCGCGAAGTAAACTGAGACTGTGTAGAAATAAGAAAAGAGAAAATGGAGGTTAAATCAAACTGGTCCACGTTGGAATTCCCCACTGGAATTCCAACGTGGATCTCGTACTTTTGCGAGGCTGGCGACCTCTGTCCCCCACAAGTGCCATTCCCGGTTTTAAAAGTTAATGTTCACGCCCTGAAAGTAAATTCAGAAAATTGACATTGGACAGTATTTGACTTGGGTATATATAGGTTATATATGGTATAGTTAATATTATTCAATTCTATCAACACTGCAGTAAAATACTTCAACTACACTGATAGGTGGGAAGAAATCAAAATGGAAGGACCAGGTTCATGTGCCATTCAAGGTTTTTAAAACTTGATGTCCACGCCCTGAAAGTAAATTTGAATACCAGTCTCCTCCCCAAGAAAATTGATTCCCATCAAAAGAGGGGGCTCCAAAGCTCAGCCAAGACAGAAAAGATGGTAGTTGGAGAATATATACTGTATCTATGGAATCTATTCAAGTTGTTATCCAAAATGTATCAGAACTTCAGAGAGAACCTTTTGAACAAAGGTCCATTAGAAATTGTGCCATTTCCTTGTTGATCTCAAAAAGAGTCATTGGAGGAATGGCATTAGCATTTGGGATTAACCTTCTCTCCTTCAGGATCATTAAGTGTCATCTGGGATCCATCTAGTCTCAATGAATAAGCCTAAACTACAAAGACTCTCTTGATGTTCCACGGATCAGTAATAATGATGCATGATCATTTTGCAAGAGCATTTCCCTAATTGTACTTTCCTGCCCAAGATTCCTACTCCTTGTCATGATGATGACTTTGTGTCTCTCTCTATTTGTTCTCATTTAAATACCCAGCCCAAGCAGGAAAGCCTCAGAACTTTTCCAAACTTCAACCAGCTAGTAACATTTGATAGTAATATTAATTGGTAAAGCCTAAACCCATATAGTTTCCAGTCTGTGAGTGATATTCACAAAAGGAGGCAAAAATTTGTGGAAATTCAAGAATAAAACACAGAATCAGATGTGGGGTGCAGTTGGGAATTTCCTTATGAAATCCCAAAAGAGAAAGATAAAAGTGTATTTCATTCAAACCCCAAGATTCCCACACTTCTTCACACACAAAAACACAATTGATAAAATAACTATCTTCACAGTCAAAAGATTGCACCATATGTCTGTTCTGCTGCACCTGATTTGTAGAAACCCTTGAAGGGAACAGATTAAAATCTGTGGTATGCAATTAACATAAGTGCCATTGAGTATTCTTGAATGAATGAATGAATAGAACACTTCATTTGCTGCTTTTCAGCGTTCACAAGGTTCAAACAAGATTACCACATCCAAACAACCCTCCCCACCCAACCCAAATCCACTCAATGACATTTAATAACTTCAGAGCAGGATATGGAGCACAAATGCATTACAAAAATAAAAGAAAATACAATCCACAAAATAAAACTGGACATCTGACCTGCATGTATACACCAATTCATTCCCTGACATTGAAAACAAAATATCAGTAAAAAATTAATTCAAAGCACTATGGTCTTCAGCTTGTTTCTGTATGAGGTTTAGTTGAATGAACAATTTGGAGAGAATCTTTGATGAGAAATCATATAAGGCCAACAGTTTATCTCGATCCTTTAAGATTTCAGAATGGGTCTCTTCATTGAATTCCGATACTTGTAAATCTTTCTTAAGCTCATTTCTATCAGTATATGAAATGCTGGACATAAGAAGAGAAGTGCTCTGGTGATGCACAAACTAATGTATTTATGCTGCCTCATTTTTTCCGCAAAATTATTTCTGGAGTATTCTTGCTGTATATTCTCAAAAGAACTTGTGCAAGTATAGCAGTATGTTAAGGTACTGAATTATTCCGGCACAACTTCTCTTGTTGGAGTTTATCTTGCGTATCTTGTTTGGATTGTATGTTTCAGAATGATTGTATTGCATACACATATGATGTATTTGGTTGTGTGAATAAGAAACCAGTGCAGATAGATTGGTTGGTTTTATTGTACCTGACTCACAGTCCATGTAAAAGAGAGGACAATAACAAAGTCTTCATAATTATATTACTGTATTATTGTACTTCCCTGTGAAACTTGTTGCGTTATCATTCAATAAGATGATCATTATTTTGCTCATAATTCCCTTTTTTGTTGCCTGTACCATTCTTCTCCAAGGAGGCTTCGGCGGTCACTTTTGACGCCGCAGGCAGCGTCGTCGCCGCTTAAACCGAGCTGTTGCGTTTCTTGTCGTTGTCGTTGTTGTTGTCGCTCTTGCACTAGTCGGACAAGAAGTGGCTCACCATCACAGGGCGCACGAGAAGCAGCAGCAGGAGCAACAGGGCCGCCATAATAAGAAGAAGATGGCGCCGCAGCCGCCGAAACGCACGGAGGCGTCCAAGCAGGCCGTCGGCGCATGGAACCTTTGTGCTGGAAAGCGTCGGAATGCCAAGAGTAGCAGCAATAAGGCGCAGATTGCTCCTGAACCTCCGGTTGACCACCAGGTGTCGCTAGTGTTTATATTATAATTAATGTACTGTGATACCTTTACAGTACAGTAATGTACAGTTAAGAACGTGCATCGTTCAGTATATTGTGTGATACAGTGTACAGAAGGATCTGGTTATAATGAATCTCGTTATTGAAAATAAATAGTTATAATAATAATAATCTCGTTATAAAAACTACAAATGCAATTCATTTTCAAGGCCCTTATATTGCGAATGTACCACAAAGATGAGAGAATTCCTTTCATAACGAATTTTTCCTTCGAACAAAATTACTGTAGTTTACTAGTCGTAATGAGATTTTGCTGTAACTATAGCAGGGAACACAAACTTACCTGCATTTTACTTGTGTATTTTCATGCAAACAATATGCAGGAATCATTTTCATATTTTTAACACTTGTAGTGAAAAAACGATGCAGAGAATTTATATTTTAAACACAAGGCCTCAACTATTTCACAAGCTTTTACAACATTTCCTGGAAATGAAGCCGCTACATACAGAGTGGGCCAAAAAAAAGTGAACCAATTTTTGACTAGAAATAGCTCAGTAGCAAATTGAGCAGTGGTAATGAAAAAACCAACAAATAAAAGCTAGTTCAATTCCATTTTAAATGGTATGCAGTTGTATGGCCCCAAGTGCCACAGCATGGTCACAAGAACCCTTTGAAGGAAAACTTTCCAAGAAAAAAGTTGTTGGGCAACTTTTTCCACTAAGCAGCTGTTCTGGAGAACTGTTTGCATGAATAAAGGAAAAATGCAGGATGAAATAATTTAACCACAGCAAACGTCATGCTATCTTAGAAAGCCTCTACATTTTCTCAAAATTCAGGAGGGGGTGAGAGAAGGAGGAAGGAAATTGGCAAGATAGAATGCTGAAGGGCTCCAGGTGACCCACTGCATGCACTTTTTTTTTGCCTGGATGACTGCATTGCTCAAAATTTGTTCCACTCAAAGTCAGTTTAATTCAAAATAATTTTCAATTAACATCAGTTTCAGCAATCCAGCTCTCCAGATGAGCTGCTTAGTGGAAAAAGTTGCCTAACACCTTTTTTTTGTGGAAAGTTTTCATTCAAATGGCTCTTGTGACCATGCTGTGGGACTTGGGACCATAAAACTACTGTACATACCATTTGAAAGACAATTGAACAATAAGCTTTCATTTGGTTTTTTTCATTACCACAGCTCAATTTGCTACCACAAGCTATTTCAAGTAAAAAATTGGTTCACTTTTTTAGGCCCACCCTGTACTGTATATACAGTACATAAATACTGTATTGGGTCAGGTCTCACATACACTATAATTGACGTGTAAAGAATGAGATAATTGACGCTATATTACAGTCACCAAATGTGCATTGAGTTTTTCGGAGGCAAGGAATAATGTTGTTTTGTCTGATTTTTTTTTACACAGATCAGTGACGAATATATTTGAATAATCGCAATTCATTCATGTATCATAGTAATCATACCCATATTGCAATGTCTGAATTTCCTATGAATCATGACTTGAGTCATGCAGTAATCGAATTTTTATTTCACCAGATTATCGAGTACAGTGAAGAATACACTGAGATAAGCATGGAGGAAGACGAACTGGACGACGAAGATGACAATAATGAAGAGAACAACGTCAACCTCATTGAAGAACACGTCGCAAAGGTGGAATGAAGATGCATTCAATATGAATACAAACTAATTCTATTTATCTATTACACTGCGCCTCCCAGTTTTTTTTTATGCAGTGTGTCAATTATTCTTTCACTTATTCGAAAGTTTTATTTTGTTAAATGTAAAAACTATCGAAAAATAAAAAGGACACACTTATTTTATTATCGTCTTTCCGGAGGCTGTCTTTTAAGCTAAATACCCCCAAACTACCTCTTGCGGAAACTCATGTGGAGGTTTTTGATGTACTGTATAATTGTTTCTGATTAAGGGAAGTAAGAAGGAATTTAAAAAGAAGACATCGGAAAATATTCGAATTATTTGGAGGTTTTTTTAAATTACAGTGAGACCCCCACATGCGGACACCTCAACCTGCAGACAATTTGAAATAGGCGGGATACTTATTTTCCTATAATAAAAAAATGATAAAAAAGGCCTGACATGAGGACACTGGCTTTACATAGGGACATTTTGTGATAAAATTGTAAATAAGTTTCAGGCCAAATTACAAGGAACAGATATTTCCAATCCTAAATTTATGTAAGAAAAGTTCTTGGGCATTTCTCTCACCAATTTACCATTCATTTAACTAATTAAAAAATGTACCTCCAGCAGAGAGGGACTTCTTTCTCTCTTTTTCACTTGAATGATATTTTTATAGAGAATGCGAACATTTCTATGCACTGTACAGAGGTATCAGTATTCAATTTCCAAAATGTCCATATTGTGTTGAAATATGTTGATTGAATCAGTTTAAATTGGGAGACAATTTTTATCTCCATGGAATTATGGTGAGTATTTTTTCCATAACACACCAATTAAAATTTATATAATGTAAGTCTTTGGGAAAATGCGGCTCCACTTAGGGACATTTCAACTTAGGGACACTCTTGATGCACCAATTATGTCCACATCTGGGGGTCTCACTGTATACCTTTTTCTTTCAAAGCAGAAGAAATTGAGCCCGAGGTCAGTGCCAGTGGAACGCCGCCGCCACGACTTCTCGCCGTCACGCGTCAGCGTCGCCACTCAAGTATCAGAGTCATGCTCCGAAGAAGAAGAAGAAAACGACGCAGTCGAGACCAACAAGTCCGCCACATTGCCCAGAAACTTTGCCGAGCGCTTCAAACTCTCGTCGCCGCGAACATCAGCACAGCCGCCACCGCCTGCAACACCAGCAGCAGCACTCACGCAGCTGGACGCCAAATCCGCGGCGTTTGCCCGCAAGTCCGCCGGAAGCTCGACGTTGTCCCCAGTCCGTCTCACCGCCTTCAAAACGACGTCCTTTGAGAAGATCAATTTCCTGAAGGCGCCGGTGATGTCCGTTGCTGATGGGGACAGTGCGGCGGGGAACGGATTCACGTCCACGCACTTGGTGCGGAGTGCTGGTGGTGGTGGTGGTAGTGCTGGACTGAAAAATGGTGGTGGTGAGGATAATGATAATGATGATGATGATAATAAGGGGTCGTCTTTCCTGATGAGTCGACTGGGAAGAAAGTCGTGGGACGCTGCTGGGGGTGAAGGTCGGTTTTTTGATGCGAAGACGTCGGGCACGCGGTTACTGAGTGTCCCGACGACCCCCGCCGTGAGTGAAACCCTCTGTGTTCATTTTATTTCATCATTTTTTAAAATATAGATTTTGGTGCTTATGCTGTACAGCTCAGAAATACGCCAAATGTTGCTTTTCTTGAGAATAAGGTTGTCCTACTTGGGCGCGACCTTGGCTATTTCCATAGAGTACTGTTGTTGTGACTGTAGAAAAAAAATTCGATATAGCCCACAATGTTGTAGATTTTGAGATTATTTGTTCAGATTCAGAGGCAATTTTTTAATTTACTGCTTGATGATGTGCATTGCGACCAGAGTTCTCAACCCTGGTCAACAAGGGCTAAAAACTTTGTAAGGCCAGCTAAAAAAACTGAAAATTTTAAGTATTATGAACATACTTTCAAAATTTTAGATAGTGCATGCTTAAAACAGTAAAGAAATTTCAATTTTAAGGTGATGTGGCACATTTTATCCCTCTGTGACGGGTGTGGAGAACACTGGCTGTAACTGGAAAGTTTTCATTCATCATGAAGCAGTAAAATAAAACTTTTTTTCAAGATCTGAAAATAATGTGAAAACTTTACATCAAGGGCTGCATCATAATTTTTTCCTACAGTCATGAACAATCTATAAATCATTAAGGTGGCGCTCCAGTGGGAGAACCCTTGTACTCTTGTTTGTCTGGGACAATCTGATGAGACGGAAAATTTGAAACAGAAACATTTTGAGCCATGCACACTTTTAGATTGGAACATTTTAAGGCATGTAGATTTCGAGACAGAAACACATGGAGACCAACTTTATTTAACAGTTTGAAACTGAAGTGAACTGAGCTCACATGCCATTTTCTTTGTGGTCCCTGGACTTTGAAACATGATGCCTGAAGCTTCTTTTGCAGAAGCACTTTACCTTGTCTGTTTTTTATAGAAATTATGAACAGATTTTTCAAAGTATTTTTCTTGTTTTGCAACTGTCACCAATCCTATCTCAAAATTTCCCCATCTCTGACTTTTGCTGCCTCAAAATATATTCCTCAAAGTTTTGATGTTGCTCACTGTCCCTGTCTCAAATTGTCCCTATCTCAAATTGTCCCTGTCTCAAATTGTCCCTATCTCAAATTGTCCCTATCTCAAATGGTCCCTGTCTCAAATGGTCCCTGTCTCAAATTGTCCCTGCCTCAAAATGTCCCTGTCTCACATTGTCCCTGTCTCAAATGGTCCCTGTCTAAAATGGTCCCTGTCTCAAATGGTCCTTGTCTCAAATGGCCCCTGTCTCAAAATGTCCCTGTCTCAAAATGTCCCTGTCTCAAATTGTTCCCATCTCAAATTGTCCCTGTCTCAAATTTTCCCTGTCTCAAATTGTCCTTGTCTTGATTTATCCAGTCTCAGATCATCCATATCCCCTTTCCTGTACTGTATTTAGGTGAATGGGAACAAGTCAGGAGGAGGAAACATCAACAAGCCTCCCTCAAGCCCCTTCAGAGTGTTTCCCATCAGCACCAGTCCAAAACCTCCAGCAACAGCAGCTGACACATCATCAGATCGAGGAAGACCAACGTCATCAATCAGCAAAATGCCCAGCAGCAGCAGCAGCAGACGTGTTGATGAACCCGTGCCCGTGGTGACCCAGCAACGTTCCCGTAGTGCGAGTCTGCAACCAGCTCGTCTGTCCGCGTTACTTCACGGAGGATCAAATCCAAGCACTAGTACTAATCATACCAGCAGCAGCAGCAGTGGCATCTGTGCCACTAGTGGTAGTCTTCGAAATCCACCACCGGAGAAACGCGCTGCAGAAAGCAGTCATTTCGTTATCGTAGCCGTGGATTTCGGAACCACTTACAGCGGTTACGCGTTTTGCTTCACGCACAAACCCAGCGACATCCACGTCATGAGAAAATGGCCGGGTTAGTGCTGATGCTGATTGAAATGTATGTAGGATATTACGAGAGGGATGAGAGAGGATCCTTTGTACAGATCGAACTGATGTTGCTTGTTAGAAGAAGTACAGTGAGATCTCAAAACACGAACGATTCGACGTTTGAAACTTGAAAAATCTGACCACAGCAACAGCAGCTGACACATCATCAGATCGAGGAAGACCAACGTCATCAATCAGCAAAATGCCCAGCAGCAGCAGCAGCAGACGTGTTGATGAACCCGTGCCCGTGGTGACCCAGCAACGTTCCCGAAGTGCGAGTCTGCAACCAGCTCGTCTGTCCGCGTTACTTCACGGAGGATCAAATCCAAGCACTAGTACTAATCATATCAGCAGCAGCAGCAGTGGCATCTGTGCCACTAGTGGTAGTCTTCGAAATCCACCACCGGAGAAACGTGCTGCAGAAAGCAGTCATTTCGTTATCGTAGCCGTGGATTTCGGAACCACGTACAGCGGTTACGCGTTTTGCTTCACGCACAAACCCAGCGACATCCACGTCATGAGAAAATGGCCGGGTTAGTGCTGATGCTGATTGAAATTGTATAGGATATTACGAGAGGGATGAGAGAGGATCCTTTGTACAGATCGAACTGATGTTGCTTGTTAGAAGAAGTACAGTGAGATCTCAAAACACGAACGATTCGACGTTTGAAACTTGAAAAATCTGACCTGACATTGGGATGATGTCTGAACGGACAGACACTTTTCCAACATTTCTAAAAAAAAAAAACAATCCAAAATTTTAATTTTCCAAATTTATATAATTCATTTTTCAAAGTTCAAAAACGAATTTAATTGCATATTTACTCAAATTTCTTATCAAAAGCAGGGTAATATTGTGTTTTTTTGGAGTATTCTCAGTTTATCATTTTTGCACATGATAGCAATAATTTTATGGATGTACTTTTATTTCCTTTTTGGAGTCCTTTGATGCCAAAAGATCAGATTCTGTATAGTTTTCTTCATTCTGAACAGTTATATTCTGCATATTTAAGTTGAGAAACACATTTAATTTGATATTTTTGGTGATTTATACCTAACTTTCACTACAATTGAGAAACAATAAAAAAGTTCCCCTTGAAGTCTATATGGGAAAATGAGAACCAAAATGGGGACATTCCAGCATCTGGGGATGAGGCCCAAGCACCAATTCTACATCTCTGGATTTCACAGGGAGAACCCAACGTGTGGACATGCTGACATATGGGCAATTCAACTTAGGGACATATGTAAAACTAAAAACAACGGTCCCAAAAATTGGGACAGTGGCTCAAAATAGGCGAAATTTCCCAACATTTAATAGAAAATACAAGTTTATTTTTTGAAAAAAAAAATATTGAGCTATTCATGTTCCAAAAAATTGAAAATACTTATTATAAATTTACCCTAATTCATAATAATAAAAGTTTGATTTTTTGCTTCTTTTCTCATAGTTTTTTCTATCATCTGCTGTTCACAGTATAGCAAGAGTTATTCTTACTCTTTGCTTTATATGAGCTCCTTTTGATGCCAGAAGATCAGATTCTATATGAGGTTCTCTTTTGCACAATTTTTTATATCTTTAAATTGAGGGAAACAATTTTTAATCAATTTTTAATAAACAGGAGAACCAATTATAAATGTTCCCATTGAAGTCTATGGGAAAATGTGATCTGAATGCACATGATCCAACATAGGGAAAATGTCCAGACACCAATTATGTCCATATCTAGGGGCCCCATTTTATTTCTGATGCTCTGATGGGTTTGCAAATAATGAGCTGTAGGTAAATTCCTTCTGTTCCTGTTGTTGCATTCACACACACTATATTTTACCAGATCTTCCTGCAGGGGAGTGTTTGTGTTTGACTGGAATGCAGTTGAAAGCAAAATAAAAATCTTTGAAGTCTTTGGGTTTAATTTTATGTACAGAGGTTTAATTTGACAATTTGTACCTGAACGAAAGGACGAAGAAGTTAGAATTAGAACAAGACGACGGACATATGTTCCCCAGATTGGTTTCAAGAGTCTTATCTTCAATTTTACCGTATATTAACTCGACTTTTTTTTATATTCTTTAAGGAAAACATATTCTTTGAGACAAGAAAAATTCTGCACTGTTTGACAAATTATTTTGAATGTTTTGCGAAAGTCACTCTGGCAGACAAAACAAATTCCAGGAAGGGCGCCTCATCTTTTGAATGGAGAGCAAAACTCTGCCAGGGTGACTTGTGAAAACATTGAAAAAAATGTGTCAAACAGAGTGTTTTTTGCCAAAGCAGATGTTTTCTCTAAAGAATAATTTTTTTCAGCTCAATTATATGCCATTTTAATTATTATTCCGAGGACTTTTGTTAGACCCCTCGTATTATCTCAATTGTGATATTCCCATTCCTGGAAGCTTAAAAGCGTTGTAGTGTCTGAAAAAGTTTTTTTTTTTTTTTAACAATAACTGTTTTTCAGCTTTCAATCGTATGTGCTGTTTTGATTTCTATCCCAAGAACTTTTGGTAAACCCCTCGTGAAAATATCCTCTGTGTGCGTATTTCATCAGGTGACCCAGATTTGAGCAACCAGAAAACCAGAACGGCGCTTTTGTTGAAGCCCAACGGGGACTTCGACAGTTTCGGATTCGTTGCCAGGGATCGTTATCACGACCTGAAACCCAACGAAGCTTCGAGATACTTTTTCTTCGAAAAATTCAAGATGATTCTCCATCACGACATGGTATGATATCCGAAAGCTTTTTTTTTCGATGAAAAACTGCTATGGGAAAGGAGAAACGTTTCTGCTTTTTACAGTCGAATTTATTTTAGATGGACATTTATTGGACCAGTAATTTAGTTTTTTGCTGTATTCTTGCAAATTTTTTTTTAATGTTTAGGACTATTTTCAAGCAGGAATTCAATCAGATTTCTCTGGAGTTTTTTGGTGACCCAAACTGTGTTTACGGCTCTAATTTTATGGATAATTTTTCAGTTCCCTCGCAATTCGTAAAAAGTAAATTTACTCTAATTTCTGTTTGTATGCATTTCCTTAGACCATGCATATGACTTTTTCTGACATCTGTTTGTCTCTGATGTTATGCGGTTTCTTCTTCTTCTAATTCGGGGTGTGTGTAGAAATTCAGGTTTTAACTTGATGGAATCAGATTACCACGAAGGATCAAATAAAAACTTGGAGGCAAATTAGCTAGCTGATGTTCTTTGGGAGGAAATGAGTTGAGTTTTGCCTGTAATAATCGTTGAGTGAGCTGACGAGAATTCCTTGTGTACAAGGTGAAAAATATTTAAAAAATAAAAATGTCAAGTGATACAATAAATGACTTGAAGATCACATTTGCTCAAAATTGTAATTTTCCCGTCATACATGCACATTTAAATCATTTGCCAAGTCAGGCTTGTCATGGGTCCATTGGATCCCAGACAAAGGAACTGAATTGTGCAGCCATCAGAATGCAAGTTTTGAATAAAAACTCAAACTCTTTTCAGCAGAGTTAATTCTCATTGCCCAGATCATCATTTGACTCTTAATGAAATGGTTGTTTGGAATGGCCGAATCAATTGTACGATTGATTAGTTAGCTCAGGAGAATGAATAAGATAATTTAAGATAAAAGGCCCTTTAACACAAGATTCTCTCGGCTCCTCTCAAAGAGGAATGAAGGCTTTTATATACTCAGGTGCTCAGACCAGGTCAGGAAGAAATCAGGTGATTTCTTCCTGGCCAGATTGTCATTCTCATTTTCATTGCCCACATTGTCATTTGGCTGTTGATGAAATGGTTGTTTGGAATTGCAGAATCAATTGTAAGATTAGTTGGTTAGCTCAGGAGAATGAATAAGATAATTTAAGATAAAAGGCCCTTTAACACAAGATTCTCACTTCTCTGGCCTCTCGAAGAAGAATGAAAGCGTTTATCCTTGGGTGCTCAGTCTGGGCCAGGAAGCAATCAGATGATTTCTTCCTGGCTCAGGATTGGCCAATTTTGGGCCTTGGCTGAGGTTCAGTGAGTCTTGCAAAAACAGGATTTTAATTGGCAAGTCTAACTGGCCTCAAGATGCAACAAGTTTTCTTGGCCACATGTAGCAGCTGTGCTGTTTCAGGATGCGACAAGGCTAATGAGGAGGTTTTATTTTTCTCACATGTGGATCAATGATGAGCATTTCAAAATGAAATTTAAAAAAATGTTTGCTTATAAATATAAAGCCCCTAATTTTTTTGATTGAATTTTTTATTTGATTTTTCTTCCGAGCGCAGTCTCTGAGCAGAGACACAGAGATCATGGCGGTGAACGGGAAGACGCTGCCGGCGGCGGTCGTGTTCCGCCACGCGCTGCAATTCTTCAGGGACCACGCATTGGCGGAGATTGGCGAGGGCTGCGGGTTGGACGCCGGCCTCAACGAGGAAGACGTCAGATGGGTGCTCACCGTGCCTGCCATCTGGCGCCAGCCAGCGAAGCAACTCATGCGCGAAGCTGCCTACAAGGTTCGCACATTACCCGTCTTTATATGCTGGAGTGACGAGAAGGAGGGCCAGCAGCTATATATAGGTTTCTTTGGTCGTCAACAAATTTTTTTTTTAAATAAAATTCTATCCCCAATTGAGACGCTCAGTATAGCACTATACCCGCCCCTTTTTTTTTAGTGAATCTAAAACTGTAATCTTTCAAAAAGAATAACGCTCAAAATTTGATTCAATATGTATAGACATGATTTCATACTGAATTCAGCCCATTTCGGGATGCTGGAATAACGTAAATATGCTACCATGCAGAATAGTCAAACCTTGATTTGGTGCCATGCTTTGTCCTGAAACATTGTCTGGCCTTGGTCCAAAAATACAAATTTTTTTATTTTCAGTGCTCAAGGGCACACAATTTTGCAAAAAATATCCCAACTTCTCTGCACAAGGGTGAATACAACAGAATATATGCAGACTTCTACACATATTGTGTCTAATAGAATAGCAGAGCTGTTTCTTGAAGTTGTGTTTGAGTTTGAGTTTTATATCAGATGCCATTAAGCCAGGATCACCAATGTGTCCAGGAAACCTCCCCATTTCTAATACAATTTTCAGTAAAGGAAGGTGTCATGCAACAATAATATTTTCAACAAAGTAAATTCAAAAGCACAATTTTGAAAATTATCCTGACTTTTCATATGAACATGGGGATGTGGATGACAAGGCATTTTTATTGCACTGAATGAGTGGGCACCAAATTAGATGCCAATAACTGCTTACACAATTTACAAAAGTGTGGGCCAGAGGTTTGTTCCAGGGAAATTAGTGGCACAAGGGCAGCACTAAATTGGGAGCCACTAAACCATGCATTGACTGTATTGCATTTGGTTGATTTACATGAGGAGTTTGTGAGAAAAGGTGGTGCACCTACAATATTAATTGCATGCTGTATAGTGAAACCTCATGTCAGCAAATCTTTGTATGAAGAATCATTTTCTGCAACAAATTTGTTTTCAATATGTTCCTGTATTCCATGCATTATTTAAATTTATTTCTAAAATTTTGTGTTTACTGTGCTTCTTTCCTCTGCTGATCACAATATTTTTGCAAGAATTTGTGACAAGAATTTGATTGCATGTTTCATATCCACAGGCGGGCATGGCATCAGCAGATCAACCACAACGTTTGCTGATCGCACTAGAACCCGAAGCAGCAGCGATTTATTGCAGAAAGCTGAAGTTCTGGGACCTGAAAGACAGATCGCCAGCCATGAGCACCCACACTTGGCACGGAAACACCTGTTTCACTGAATACGTCATCAAGGAGCTCGAAAAAGGTTCGCCTTGTGCTGCATGAAATGTATAATTGAACCTTTTCAAGTGGAACTTCAAGGGATGCAGCACAAAAAATCCGAGTTTGGGATGCCAGCTTTATTGCTGGGGGAAGATAAAAGAAAGAATGATTTTAATACCGTCGAACCTCTCGAAGTCGAATTTCAAGGGACCAGCAAGCAAAATTCGACTTAGGGAGGTTTTGAATTCAGCTACAATGCAAAGCCCTTTTGTTCTGGGAAAATATAAAAATTGCCCAAAATTGTAAATGGTGATATTCTGAGGGTGAAAATTACTTCTTAAATGAGTTGAAAGAATCCTGAACTTGGAGGCAGGGTTCATACGCCCAATTAAGTCTCTCACCTCCTTTTAAAACAAATCAATTTCTGTTTTCATAACTTTTTTCTTTCTTATGTCAAAAAAATACCGTATTTACTCAAGTACCATGGGCCCTCAAGTAAGGCACGCACAGGGGTTTTTCAGTTGGAAATTTGGCTTAAATCTTATCCCCAAGCAAGACGCGCACCCCAATTTTTAATGGATCTAAAACCACAAAATTTTGAAAATGAAAATAAAAAATTGACTTTAGACATGAATTGAACAAAAATCTGATCAATTTTCAACTTTTTCAATCCAAAAAAGTTTTGAACAATGTAAAAAAGGTTTAAAGAGGGAATATTAATTCATATTACGAGTGTATATTGAAGGATTTTGAAGAACTTTTTAAATATGGGTAAATACTACGCGTGGGGAAAAAAGAAAACTTTAAACTCGAAAAAGGTGCGCGTGGTACTTTGGTAAATGTGGTAAAAGCCATCAGGCCACAGAAAATTTGAGTAATGGAGGTTTGAGGGGAAAAAGCCTTTGACTTAGGGAGGTTTTTAATGCATTAAATCTGAGGGGATTTAGACTGGCCCTGGAAAAAAAATCGACTTTGAGGGATATTTTACTTCACCTGTAATTTAGGTTCAACTGTAATTGTAAGTGATGGTGATATTCTGGGTCACAAATTGCTTGGTAAATGATTTGACAAGATGCTGAACTGGAATGCAAAAATTAATCTGCCCAATTAGTCTTTCACTTCCTTTTAAAACATGTGTAAGTTACATTCCCAATGCATTTTTCTTTCCTGTGTCCAGGAATTAGTAGCCAAAAGCCCTTCAGAAAAATCAATTCAAGGAGGTTTGAGTGGGAAAGCATTTGAGGTATAGTGAGGTTTTAATGCATTATTTCCACGGAAATTCTGAAAGGGCTTTCAGAAAAATTTGACTTAGGGAGGTTTGAGGCATCAAGGTTCAACTGTAAGTTCGGAATGCAAATTAATTATCTGTAATACAAAATGCCCTGAGGGCATCTGATAAGTTGGATGTGGATATATTTTTCCATATTGATTTACATGCAGGAACAACTTACATGGTGGTGGACTGCGGTGGAGGAACTGTGGACATCACAGTGCATGAAATCATGGATGCTGAAGGGAACATGAAGGAGATACAGAAGGCCAGTGGGGATGCCTGCGGATCCATTGGTTAGTTTGAAAGAAAACAAAAAACAAACAAGAAAGTAAAGAAGTGATTAATCTTTTGGATCATTTGACGAAAAAAAAAGCTATATAGCCATGGCTGGTATTTTTGAGCAGGATCTTCAGAAAATTAAAAATCTTCAGGTGCATCCGATTCCCGAAATTCCTTTTATTCTTCTGTTAACTCTGTAACTATCTAAAATTGCCAAAATTCGGCCCTTTTCAATGCGGAAATGCTCGTGAAATCAAGTATAACATTCTTTTGCTGCAAGCAATTTTTGGCAACGAGGTTTTTTTTTTTAGAAAAATGCCACAGAAATGGGGCTAAGAATCGCGTGGTTGCACATTTACAGAAATATTAGGATTAATTATTTTCCGGCTATTTTATTCTCAGCTTTCATAACATTCCTTCAAATTTCTGAGTTTTTTTTTTCATCAGAAAATTAGTAAAGCAGTCAACTAAAATACGAAAAAGTTTGTGAAAATTGACATTCGAAGGCAAATTAAAGCGTTATAAATATATTAGTCCAGAATGTTCGATTCTCCATAATTGCATGAATAATTTTTTTCGGGACCCTGATTTTCTTTTCAGAGGTGGACAAAGCCTTCGAGAAACTCCTGGAACAGGTCTTTGGAGAGGCAGAACTGAAGAGGTGGAAAACGAAGCATCCCTCTGCCTATGTGCACCTTCTTGCCACATTTGAAACGAAAAAGCGCTACGCCAGGCCAACGAAACAAGACCCCGCCAACGTGTCCTTGCCTCTGGCTTTCATAACTTTCTTTGAGTCTTCCAAAAAAGGAGCAGTGAGTTGTGTACTTTATTAAAAGTGTACATATCTTTGTATAATTACAGGAAAATCTTGTTACAACAAATACCGGTACAACAAATTTTTCAGTACAACAAACTTTTTTTCAAGTCCTGGTAGAAATCCTATAGGATACATGTTATAATAATCTTGTTACAACAAACTGCCAATTCCAGTATAAAAAATTTGTTTGCGGAACATTCTATGATTTCTTGAAAAATCCATAATAAGGCAGGCAAAGTCTCACATTTCAAATTTCAAATGTGACGGTGACTGGTTCTTGGAACATTAGGAGGAATCAAGCACAAAAATTCTTCAAAGTTCACCCGAAAATCCTTGCTTTCAAAAAATATGCTTATGTTAGGAATGATAATGGTGGGAGGGAGGGGGGCAATCAGATGGAGAAAAACAAACCAGCAATACTCATGTTAAAAAGGGTTTGTATGCTTGAGAAATGCTAGTGATGTAAAAATTGTTAGCAATTTTGACACATTCACCCTTACACATATTTGCAGGAATTGCTTTAAAAAACTCGGAGTCAAGAAAGTGTGCTATAGCCTATAGTATTTACCTGTTATTCAGAGTATCTGTTTTTTATTATTATCAATTACATTTCTTTTTGAAGATCACAGTTTTTAACCATTGAAAAACATCTGAAAAGGCCACAAAGGGAAGGTTTTGAATATATGCAGGTCTAATTTGAAGAAAATCTTCCAATCAGTCAATAATTTTCAAAATCTCTTTCTAAAACATTATTTGTTACAAGAAACTTTTTCTGAAGCCCCCACAAGTTTGTTGTAACAAGATTTTACTGTATTATGGGGAGACTATTGTTCATGAATGCACCTGCTGATGCTTGCTGGTTGGGATTGTCAAGGTTGAAGAAGCTATTCAAAGGTGTGGGATCCCTGGCGTGTCTTGGACAGAGCAAGGAATGATTCGACTTGGTCCTCAGAAGATGCAGGAGCTTTTCAAGCCTGCTTTGGAGCAACTTTCACAGGTCAATATTTAGTTGGTAATGTACTGGTGTATATGTATAAGGGTGAATGTGTCAAAATTGCTAACAATTTTTACATCATATATATATATATATATATATGGTTGATAACCTCAATAACTCAAACCTCTTCAAGTCAGATGCCTAACCAAGTCAAATTTGTTTCAAATACCCATCTGAATCCCCTTGGGAATATTGCATTAAAAACCTCCCTAACCTGAAGGCTTTTCCTCTAAACTTCCATAACTCACATTTTCTGAGGCCGTTTGGCTATTATTTTATTGACACAGCAGGAAAGAGAAAAAAATTTAAATATAGTAACTTTACGTGTTTTGAAAGGAAGTGGAAGACTAATTGGGTAAGCCTCCAAATTCAGCATCCTGTCAACTCATTTCAAAAGCAATTCAAGGTCCAAAACACAGTATCACCATTTACAATTTCCTGCAATTCTTCCATGTTCCAACATTAAAAATGCTTGTTTCCCCAGCTAAAAACCCCCTATCTCAGAGTCTCCTCAATTCAAACCTCCCTAATTTGAATTTCCATGGTCCCCTGAAATTTGACTTGGAGAGTTTTTTATTTGCCCTTATTGTTCTGGCATTTAAAAAATGGTTGATGTAAAGTGAAATTATAAAATTCCTACAACTCACTCATTATGTATGCTCAAGGTTTGAGTGAGTGTTCAAGTGTGTGAGAAATTTGTATCAGGTGCAGCCATAATGAAGTTAATCCTCCATTATATGAAATGCATGACTGATGCCAATTTTTTCAGAAGATCATTTAGTTTTTTAAGCAACGCCAAAAATTGGAAAAAAGCCAGAAGAGCAAGATATAATTAATTATGGGCTGGTCTGACATGACAAAAATGTCCTGGCTTTAATTTTAAAAATCTGGCTACAACAAATCATTTACTATAAAAAAAACTTGTTCTGTGGTCCACAAAACGTTTTTCAGGAAAAATATGTTGTAATGGGATTCATGGATCTTTGAGCATGTGTAGATTGTATCTGATAGAAATGTTGTTGGAAATTATAAATAACACATTTCGAGTACTTTCACAATAGGTGTGTGAAGAATAGCCATCATTTCCAATTTCTCTTAATAAATTGATTGAGAGAATTCCAAATAAGAATACAATAATACTTGTATTTCAGACCTTCCCTTCCTAAAATATCCTCCAATGTATTATCTTACTAAATTAAAAGCTGGAACAAACAGTGAAGACATGTGTAGAAGAGCATTTATTAATTTACATCTGCACTGTGTGTTCTCTGAAATGGAGTAGCATCCTTTCAAACATCCTTTTTTCAAATTACTTATTTCAAAATTTTAAAATGAATTGAGGTAGATATATTTTTATTACAGCTTCATTATTCTTCCTTGGATGCCAAATTTTCTGTTCAAAAGAAGATNTCAAGTCTGTACAGTGAAATCTAAAATTTCCTTCTTATTGGGTTTTCTTTATGATTTGTTTAAAAAAGCATTATCTTTCCTGATCCTTAATTTGTTTCTGCCAGAAATGGAGAAATTTATTTGAATCTTGATACATTTTGTCAAGTCTAAGTTCAATTAGGTATAAGATCAGTTCATTTGGTATTTTATTCAGTGAAGTAAGTCATTCAGCTGGCTAATCTATTTCTCAGCCATGCAGAATGAGAAAACAACTATATACAGTGTATTTAAGGATGAATGGAGGTGAGATTTAATGTCAAGTTTGCCAATTTGCTGTCCATATGTTTCAGTCTAACCCAGTGTTCCCCATATACCCATGGTCCACAGACTGGCACCAGTCTGCAGATGTTTTTTGCCAGCCCACACAATTTTTTTCTCTCCAGGATAGTAAATTTAAGTAGCAATGAAGTCTATTATCTTTATTTGAAATTTTGGAAGGATAATGGCAGTTGAAATTATCTGATGAAAAATGAACTTTTCTCTCAATAACACATCAGAAAAAATTTGACCAGATGAAATAAATTATTTTAATTTTTCCTTCAGAGAATCCTTTCTTCTAGCCCACCTGTCTAATTTTTTGAAGATATTCCAATATAGTTTATTCATTAGTTCTCAACGTAATTTTTTGCAATAAAGGAATCTTTAAAAGAAAAGTTATTGACACTCAGTAAAATCTGACCACAATAAAAATCTTCTTATAATGAATTACTGGTTACAGCGAATCAATTTTTCAGGTCCCTATGCCCATTAGCAACAATTTCATTCGAATTGCTCCACAACGAATTTCTTGTCACAATAAAAGCCAAGGGACCAGAAAAATTTGTGAGAGAGAGAATTTCTTTGTAGAGATCTCCTACATGATGGGGACGTAATTGGTGCATCAAGAGTGTCCTGATGTCGGAATGTCCCCAAGTGGAGTCTCATTTTCCTCTAGACTTTAATGCTCATGTATTCAATTGGTTCCTTTCTTTCTGTAAAAAATTAGAAATAAGTCCTTGAACATGTTAAGAAAAAAATATTCTCTTGACTTCTAGTTGTAGAAAACAACAGTGCAGAACAAAACCACATAGAATCTGATCTTTTGGTATCAAAAGGAGAACAAAAAGCAAAAAAAAGAGTATTTTTGGAATATACACAGATGATGAAAAAACTCTGAAAAAAGCACAAAAAATCAGCTTGCTGTTGATTAAGAATTAGAGTGAATTTATCCTGAAACATTTTTTTTTATTCTGTGAATTTAAATACAGTGAGACCCCAAGATGCGGACATAATTGGTGCATCATGAGTGTCCCCAAGTCAAAATGTCCCCAAGTCAAGTCTAATTTGGGTTTTATGTACAAAATACTCACCATAATTACATGAAAATAAAAATTATCTTCCAATTTAAACTGATTCTAATCAATATACTTTGACACAAAATGGACATTTGGGTAATTGAATAATGATACCTCTGTACAGTGCATAGAAATGTTGGCATTCTCTGCAAAAATAACATTCAAGTGAAAAAGAGAGAAGGACGTCCCTCTCTGCTGGAGGTAATTTTTTTTAATTAGCAGAATGGATGGTAAATTGGGGAGAGAAATGCCAAAGAATTTTTCTTACATCAATTTTAGGGTTGGAAATATCTGTTTCTTGTAATTAAATAACATTCAAGTGAAAAAGAGAGAAGGAAGTCCCTCTCTGCTAGAGGTAATTTTTTTAAATTAGCAGAATGGATGGTAAATTGGGGAGAGAAATGCCAAAGAACTTTTCTTACATCAATTTTAGAGTTGGAAATATCTGTTTCTTGTAATTTTGTCTGAAATGTATTCGCAATTTTAGAACAAAATGTACCTATGTCAAGTCAGTGTCCTCATGTTGGGTCATTTTTATTAATTTTTTATGATAAAATAAGTGTCCCTATGTCAAATTGCCCGCAGGTTGAGGTGTCCGCATGTGGGGGTCTCACTGTAGTTTGATTTTTTCAAAAGAAAGCAAAATTAAAAATGAAATGTTTTGGTTTTTCAAGAAAATTTCAACTAGTGTCCCTAACTTGAGCCAATGCCCTGATCTTCGGCCTGATATTTTTTGTGTAGTTTTCAAGTGTTTCTAAGTCAAATTGTCCGTATGTTGGGATGTCCGCAAATCGTGTTCTCACTGTAATTGTATTTTTCGATTTATGCAGAGAAGAAAGTGAGGCAAGGGGACGTGGATTGGTGTGCAGATTGCTTCGACAAGTTCGTCGTGGAGGATGATTCCGTGCAGTTGGGGGATGTTGTGCTCAGGCGTTACACTCCAGCCAGACCAGACCAGACAACTCTGGTCATGCATATTTACAGTTCCAAGCGATCAGATGCTGAGGTATGTTCAGACATGTGCTGTACGTAAGGTACCGTATATACTGCCTATACAGAGGAAGCAAAGCTTAGGTAATTTATTTTCACTGCTATAGTCCATATAATGGCGATGAGCTCAAGTCATGTGAATTTGCGAGTTTCAATTGCATGCATATGAATTATGTCAAACTTTAGGAAATACTGTACAGTCAAACCTATTTAGTGCCATCATTCGTCCTGGCTCATTCTGAGACAAAAAAAATTGAGGATATTTTATGAGAGAAGAAGGTTCAGCAGTCGAGGACTTTGAGAGTACAAGTACGGGCAAAAGGGGCTTCTTTACAAAATTATCAAGTGATGAAGAAGTCAGCTTAATTTAAATGAGAGGAAAAGCACAAGAAATCATTCAAATTTAAAATATACTGCTGTATGTTTTATTTTTTAAAGATAAAAGTCTGTGCTGAGACAGAAGATATTATATTTTTGCACATGTGTCTAGTAAAAGAACAAAGATGTTTATCAAAGTTTTGTTTGAGTTTCAGTTTTATATCAGCCAGTGTCATGATGCAGGAATCACCAGTATTGGTTCCAGAAAAGCTCCCACTTTTTTTATGTTCATTAAAGGAAAGTATCATGCAACAAGAATATTTTTAATTATGTAAATTCAGAAACCGCTTGTTTAAATTTGTCTTGAGTTTGCATGTGTGCAGTGACATGTGATTCTCTGTATAATAACCAAATGATTCCAATAGAAAAAGGTCTTACTCTCTTTTATTCTTATCCATTCTTCATCCATACGGATGTTTTGAAGCATTAAGTGCTGAGTCTTGTCATTAAATTTGGGTTTCCTTATTTAAAAGCTGAGTGCAAGGAGCTTCTGAGGGAGCCAAGTGGTGGTGGCACTAAATTGAAGGTTGACTGAACAATTATGCTGATTATGTTTTGGATTTTGATGAATAAATGATTGTTTTTCTATTTGGGCGACACCTACCTCAGTACCACAATAATGGGATCACATGTGATAATCAAGGCTTAAATAGGGTGTGCTAAATTTTTTGCATAGATGGATTGGGAAGCTCCGAAAAATTGCAGTAAGTTCCCTGATGCAAAAATTACATAGAAGAGGCAGTTTAAAATTTAATTAATTTGTTCGTCAATCTGAATTGCGCTGCTTTTTCACGTACTGTAGTTCACTACTGACACCGGGGTGAGGAAGTGTGGATCCTTGCAACTGGAGCTTGCGCAAAGCCGCCTAGATGTCGCCTATTCCAAGAACCCTATCCGGGAAGTCCAAGTGCGCATGGTGCTCGGAGACACAGAAATCCGAGCCTCAGCATTGGACCTGGCCACTGGACTCCATGTGAAGACGAACATCGATTTCTTGGCGTACTGAATTGGAATAAGGGCCAGTGATTTTTGTTTTTGTTTTTTTCGGTTTTTGAACAGCGCGGTCATCACGGTCCATATGGTTAAGCGAATTTGCGGGCAATTTTTAGCTTTATCAGCGCGTTAGCCAATATTTATTTGCAACAAGAAAAGGAAAAAACTGCAGACGCTTTTTATCTGGCTAGGAGCATGTGTGGGATTAACTCAAAAAAGTGGGACCAGTTTTATCCCGGATGTTTGATGGAATTTAAGATTCGGTTTCTTTTTTGTGACAATCAGCGCCCAAAACAAATCATTTTGCGAATCTTACTTGCTTTGGTGATTCACGGAAATTAGGTCTTCAAATATGGATTCAAACTGAATTTACAACTGCTGAAAGGGACTCTATATGAAGAGCATACAATGAAAAGATGAATTGCGTATTCATTTTTATTCCTTCATGCTCCAATTAATTCAATTTTTGATAATGGTCCAATATTTGCATACAAAGTGTGGTTTTGGTCTCTCAATTCAAAAAACATTGACATACAATGAAAAGATGAATTGCGTATTCATTTTTATTCCTTCATGCTCCAATTAATTCAATTTTTGATAATGGTCCAATATTTGCATACAAAGTGTGGTTTTGGTCTCTCAATTCAAAAAACATTGAGTATATCATAGTCAGCATGTGAAAAAGGTGTTCGTCGATTATTGTTTTATTATGACTAGATAAAAACTCTGAATTTAGTCATTATAAACTAATCTACATATTAGTTACACTCTGTACACGTTATACGTTAGAATCTGTTTTGTAATTATCCCTCAGAGGATTACATTAAAGGAACAATATTCAGTAACTTCCTATGGTACAAGAAATCCTGAAAGGGGACCTGGAACAATTCAATAAGATTCACTCCAATTGACAACCAATCCATGTGAAATATGAAGCAGTGTGTATAGGACATAAACCACATCTATGTTGTATACTGAAGTGTGTGTGTGTGAATAACCAGTTGTATGAGAATAGTCAATAGAAATCATGGAATAGTGATAAAATATTGGTCATATTGTGAGACATGAGATAGTAAGATGTCTACATGAAAAAATTGCATCTTCCAGTAGAAAATGAACAGTATTATCACAGCGCCCTCTGTTGAGTGTAAAATAACACTGATTCTTCATCTCAAGAAACATTGCTAGAAATTTCAAGGTACAAACTGATGAAATGACGTTACGGAAGGACAAGAAACTGTCGGTTTTATAACTGGTACCGTGGGTCTTGTACTAGTCACAACAGTCGGTACTCAAGAAGTCGGAACTCTCTGTTCACAGAGATGGGGTCCAGAGTGCCAATGAAATGTGTGTCTGCATCAGTGCCTGGCTTGAGGGACATTTCATCTTCCAGCCTCTTTTGGAAGTTTGAAAGAGAAATTATTTTCAAGAATTTACTGCAAGTAAGACCTGCTGGTCAAATTGAATTGTCAAACACCTCCATCTGTCAAACAGAGTTTAGTCTCTTGTCTGAATCCCTCAAGAAAAATGTGCTTCAAAGTAAAATCTGCTTGTAAAAAATCTCATGATAGCATAAGCAACAAATTTAAAAAAAATTGGCTTTGATTTTCTGTCCAGCAATGGTTACAATTTCATGTGTGTTTCCATCATGACATTATATTCATTCTAAGAAAGCTGTTATACTGGTCACAATATATTTTTTCTCAGACTTGACTGTGTACCTCCCTAACTCAAAAATGTCCCCCTTTAAATCCTTTAACTCAAGTTTTTAGAGACCTTTGGATTATTATTCAGGTGACCCAAGAAGGAAAAGAGAAATGAATACTAAATTTAATGCTTTTCAACCTTTGCTTCTATGTTCAGCATAGAATCAATTCTTAAAGTCAGGAGTTTAAGTTTCAGTATAATCATGAATTTAACCTTCCTGTTACTTTTAAGGTTTTCCAAGCAGATATGCTATGTTTCCTTAACTCAAAAACTACTTGAGTGAAATTTATTTGTGGATATCCTTCCAAGTTTGACCTGAAGAGGTTTAACTCTAATAAAATATTTTCAAGCATTGAAATGATGTAAGAGTTCACCTTTCTGAAAGCATGTGAAATTTCAAGAATTCCCTTCATCTTTTCAAGATTGTCTTCATCTTGTTTTGCATAAGACTTGACTTTCAGACCATCTTTCCAAGAGTGTTTGTCCAAGTTGAGCAACATGTTCTTTTCCAAGGCATTCAGATTGTAGCTGATCCCAATTGAATAGTAAAACCTGTTGAGTCCATGCAGCAAAGCCTGCATGGAAATTCATTTTTTGATGATAAATTGTACAAATTATGTGATTCAAGCAAGAAAAAATAATAATTTACAGCAATAGTTTCACTCACCACTATGGAAGGCTTGTGCAAGTGTCCCAAATTTGAAGTGACCTGCCTGGCTTCTTGTCCCAAAACAAGTGTGTTTGTGCTAATGAGCCTAAAGGCATCAATCACAACTTTTCCTGTAAAATATGCATCAGATGAGTTCATGTTAAGTCTATTAAATGCAAAAATCAAGCTAAAATAACTATAGCTATGTAGCTAGAATACAGTATACAAGTCATGAAAATAGAATTTAGCTGCAAGCATTGGCCAAATTTATTTAGAGATGTAATAAAGAAATTATGGGATGTCAATAATCCATTGTCCACCTTTAACACTCTGAATGGGATCCACCACCACAGCAACTGCTCTGCTGGTCAGGGTTTCAAAACTGTGCTGGGTGTTGATGTCTACACCAGATAGCCAGCATCCAAATCCAGGATGAGAATGGTACCATCCCACTACCATCTCAGGTCTGCCAGTTTGCTTCAGCATGTCCAGCATTTTAGATTGAAACACTGGATCCACTGCCTCTACACTCACCCCCTTTTTTCCCCCAGGAGTTGATTAAAGTCAGTTTTATAATGCTAGAATCATTTTTTGACTCTTAAAGGGATTTATTCTCCACTGCACAATCAAAACTTTTTCATTTTTGTTTGTATATACAGAGGGGGACACATACATGATCAGTTGAATTTTCACAAGCTATGATTTGGAGTTCAAAATGCATTGTACAGTATTTCAATATTTATTGAATCAATGTATTTGAATGACTGAACTCATGGTTATAGACTGCTGAGGCATAGCAAAGACAAATACTCTGTTGATGGATTCATTCTTCAAATTCAAAGAAAAATTAGTTTGCATGGATGAGGGAAACACATCATACAGGATTGCAATAGTTAAATTTTCACAGACTGTGACACAGCTTTGGAAATGAATTTCAACATATGTATTGAAAGACAGTATATCTGAGTGATGACCCAACTCACAGTTCCAGATTGAGGCATAGCAAAGACATCCTTGACTGTGACAGTGTAGTCATCCACAAATTCTCCAAGCATGAGACCCATCACTTCCATTGGCACACCTGCCCTTCCATGTTTCAGCATCTTGATGAGGGCCAGGGATGAAATGAAAACCTTCAAAATGATCAGACATATTGTATGAAATCAAACAATGCATTTTATGTTGACAATCAAAAACAATATGTATATGTAAACATAATACCCTTTCAGCAGTATCAGTAGTGGGGGCCTCAGGCATGAGACCCCCAGGCACCCCAGCACCCAGGCGCAGCAAATTTTCCATTTCCAACTGTTTCTCAACACCTGAAAAGATGGAACCAAACCAAATAGATGTTGACCCTTATATATGCTTAAAATGCAATTTGATCACCAAAAAGTGATTAATCTGAATTCCAGAAATTCTAGCAAGAAAATTAGCCCAATGTTTTCCACCAGCAGTGTAAGCGCTGATTGAGTCTTACCTATACAGAATATCCATGATGTGTCTCTTCTAGAGTATTAGTAAGAAACTCATGGAGGTTGTGTTGCTCATTCACCTCTATATTCACCCTCTCAACCATTTCATGATATCAGACTGCTTTTTTTTTTTATCAAAGAAGCATACAAAAATTATCAATAAGTCAGGTGTATTTCTGTCATGGCAGTTTTGTGTCAAGAACAGCACCAACATAGCACAAACACTGCAGGTAATATACACTCAATGATGTCCACAATGAATGAATGTAACAGTACTGTATGTGCAAATGTGGAGATGGACTATAGTGGATTATGCATGACATCACTTTGAAGTTTGTCTGAACTGCAGGAGTACAACCAAGTAAGTCAAGATTTGAGAGAAAACCTGAAAAAAGAACCAAAATTGAGACAGAGTTGAAAAAATTATATAATCCAAAAACAACTGGAGATTCACTCACAGAAATCAACAGAGATCTCTTGACAACAAATACACCTCCAATGAAAGCAACTGCAGGACTGGTTCTGAGCCTTTGCAGTAGTAGATCAAGCTGTTGATTCACAATAAGATATATTCAAATCATCCAATATATAAAAAATATTCTGCAGAAACTTGCCTGTTGTCTGTCCTTGTCATTAGCTTCCACTGACAGTGCATCATCCTCATTCCCAAGGTGGTCCTGAATGTCCTCCAAATGTCCAATTGCTTCCTTTGTCTTTCAAGAAAAGTATTTTTTAGTACTGTATAACTATAATGACATCCAGATGATTAACTTACATGAGGAATATTAAATAACCCACATTTATGTATTTTGAAAATATTTTGATTCAATGGAGAACCTGTTTGCTATAATTTGCAATAATTTTGAAAATTACAATGTAAAAATGTATGTAACCCCATTTGCTTTTAACCATTCATGTCTCTGTATTTACAGTAAATGAAAGGTGATAATAAAATCATATTCCAACTGTACATCAGATGACACTGATTCACCTCATCAGTGAGCTTTTGTCCATCTTCAGCCATGATGACCAAGGATACTGCATTGCCAACTGCTGCCATTCCCATGGCAATCAACTTTGCATAGAAACTTCCATTCCACACATCAGAACCTGTGACAGGGTGAGAGACTTTCTCATTATTTCAGCAAAATACCACATTTTGTCCGGTATTACAAACATTTTTCTTTTCTATATTAAAAGCAAAAATTATGAGGGTGTGAATCAGATATATGGCAAATCACTGGAGGAAATTGTGAATCTTTAGCAAACTTTTTAAAGGTGAAATCTCTTTAAAAAGTGAAAACAGCTAAAAATATGACATGTGATATTAAAAAGCCAGAAGAATTGAAGAAGGAGTGGATATGGCTAAAATTTATTTTCCAATGTTCTGTGTTTTTGTTCTTGTAATATTGCAATTTTTCAGGGACTCAGAAGGATGCATTTTTCTCAAAATTTTAGGATCAAAATTGGAGATGTGCATCTTATTGGGATGTATTACTTCAGTATAAATGGAGTATTTCAATACCTACAATATATAACTACAAAAATGCAAGTTCATAATGATTAAAGAATGATTCTACAACTCATAATTTATACTCATAATTCAAGTATCTTCAATGTATATCATATTAATTCAACAGGATTCAATTTTCCCCAAATTGTGTGCTTGAAAGTTAAGGTGGCGTATAATAAATTTCACATTTGAACTAATTTATGACGTACAAAACCTTCCATAACAACGGTGTTGAGACGATTTCAAAACTTTTATCCGACTTAAGTTTCGTAATATACGTTCTGTTATAAACGTCCTGAGATGAAAATGTCAGTGCATCAAATATTTTGATACAGACTTGAGAAGCTGAGGCTCCAGCAGTTCCATGGACTATTACTCTCTACCCTCTAGATGTCACCCCTTGCACTGCAACTGCACTATACTAACCAAAGATATAAGCAGCCTGGAGATAGTATAACCCAATGATGGTCACAGATATGTGACCAAAGTATGCAGAACACACAGTTGGAGACACAGCATCAACCAGCACATCATTTTCTTCCTCTATGAGATTATACCTCAACTGGAACTCAGTAATTAATTTCCCAGTGTTTGTCCATTCCTCGCCAAATCTCAAATTTGTAGTGAATATGGGTAGTGTTGGGTCTCTTGCATGTGCCACCAGGGAACCCAGGTCTCTTTTGAGGGCCCATGTTGCCCTTCGAATCCGGGCACGGGTCAGGTTCATCAAGGAGATCAGCAAGAGGGTCCCAAACTTTTGAATCATTGAAAACACAGTTGAATACCTGTAAAAAAACACACACACACAATCACACCATTGGAACTTGAAATGAAATGTCTAAATTCAAGATCCCCTTAATAAACATTAAGTGTATGCGGCATACATGTAGGATTTCCAGTTTTATTTTGTGGAGTGTGTTCTCTTTTGTTTTTGTCATTGTTTTGTGCTTTGTTCCATGCTTTGAAGTGATTGAATGTCTTTGGGGGGAGTTGGGTTGGGTGCTGCATGGGAACCTTTTCAGGAGATACTGTACAGTGAAATCTAAAATTTCCTTCTTATTGGGTTTTCTTTATGATTTGTTTAAAAAAACTGCAAATATTGTCTTGCATATAATGCTTTGAATTCAGCCTATTTTCAAAACTTTAGCAGAGTTGTGGCAACAATACCTTCCAAAACATGCAGTATTTAATCAAGTTTACACTTTAAATAATATGCGGGAGTTGGATGCGGGAGTTGGATGCAGGAGTTGGATGCAGGAGTTGGATGCGGGAGTAGAACTTGGTTGTGCCTTGTGAACCCTGAAAAGTGGAAAATAAAGTGTTCTGTTCATTCATTCATTCATAAACACTAACCATGTTAACAGAAAAATTATGAAAGCCTTGTAGGTGGGAGAATAAGTGTCTGTTGGTCCAAGGTTGGGACTTGGAGTTGTAATATTTCCAGAGGATCCTTGATCAAAGTAGGGTTCACTTTCAAACAAGACAGGGTATACTTGGGATATGCCTTGCAGCATGTACATGACCCAGTCAACCAGTACTAGCATAATCATACCCTTCCACCACAAAGATTTCAGCATTTGCTTAACATCTACTGCTTCTATTTCCACTGTTGACTCCTCATTTGGTTCCACTGTGCCACTGACTTGGATGAAGTAGTTCCTGAAGACCTTGGTCTGGAATTCAAATACTGTAGTTAATTTTCATTCAAAACATCTGAAATATAAACCTTATTTTTCATTCCAAAAGGGCAAAAGGTTTGAAGCAATGCTTGATAAATACAACTCCAAGATTTGCATCAATTAGAACAGTTTTAAAGGGGATAAAAGTATGTTTAATGGTGAATTGTTTTTTGTCAATTTTACAATTTTCTGGTCATCCAAAAATTCTGAAATGTTGATATGTTGCATTGTCATTGATGTTTGGCAAGTTTGGTAAATTTTAGCTATATTGAAAATTAAAAAGTGGGTTAAAGTTCAATTGCAATCTTTGCTAAATCTGGATATATCTTGACAAGAGACATACATTCATACCCCAAGTCAAGTTAAATTAAAGTCTAAATAAATATTTTCAAATTCAAGTTGAGAAGGGTATACTCACAACATGTGCAATTTTCACCATGTTAATCATGGCACAGGAGCTGAGCACAATAACAATGCCCATGATGGTGACAGTATCCATATTGGAGTAGCCCAACCTTTGAAGCCCATTGCTGAGCAACATGTAGAGGTAGTAGAGTCCACAGCCCAATCCAGTGGCACAGAGCAGCATGAACCTCAGCAACTGCCCACTACCCCAGCCATCATTTTCAGTACTGCTTATGTCATAGGGAAATGCTCCCATGAACTGCATGATGCCCAATGCAGGGCTCAAAAAGTTCCTCACATCTGAAGGCCTGTGGATTTCTACAGTTTCAGCACTTGTTATCCAAGCTTGCTGCTTCAGATTTTTCTGAAAACCTGCTGTGTCATGATTATTGGGATCAAAGATGGGGGTCTTCAGTTGAGCTGGGAAGAGCTGCTCAAGAGTTGTCTGAGTTTTGCTAGAAGGTTTCCTCTGCATCTTTCAGTGCACTGGACCAAGTTCAAATGACATCTATCTCATTTCAGTATATTGCTCCTTATTCATATGTGGCCTCAAAGTAGACCACACCCAAGTGAATCAATAATGGGATCCAAATATGGGTAATTTGAGCCCTTGTCCACTATGCTGACCCCATGCTTTTCTTATTTCCCTCCTTTAGAAACCAGAAAAGAATGATGACAGAAACCTCCATTGAATTGAAAGCTTGGCATGCACAAAAAATATTTCTGGAACAACTAAATCAATATTTCTTTTATCCCTATTGCCTTCAGTCTCATTGTTCAAATCATTGATTATTTTTAATGACACATGCTGAGGAAGGACAATAACAGAGGCTTTTCAGACAAGAATGAAATATTCAACAAGGAAAGGTTTTTGTATTTCAAAAATCCATCATGAATATATTGATTGGAAAATCATATATGAGAAAAAGGCTGCAATTTCTGAACTCATCATAAGGGAGGTGAGGGAGGCAAGAGTTGATGTCTTTGACATCAGGAATGTTTCCCTGGTGTGGAGTAAAAGAATCCCATGAATTTCTTTTTGCCTTTTCCCCTGCTGGATCCAGTGACAGTTGGGGTTTGCTGCTGCTGTGGACCCTGTACAGAGGGTCTTAGTATCCTGAAGGAAGCCCTTGCTTGCCTGCTGCCACCATCAAATGCAATTCTCTGAGTGGTGTCAAAAGTAGTTGGCCTTCTGATCATTTTAGGGCGACGTTTGGGCATGATTTCTTGAGATCCTGACATGTCTTCTGTAGATGGTGTCCAGAGTTCATCAAATGGAGACTTTTGGGGTTCTCTTGTCCCAAACACTACACTGTGTGGGGGGCTTGGGGGCTGCTGAGTCTGTAGTCTGGGACTTCCATTGTCCTCCAGACTTGGGTTGGAAATTTCCTGCCTCCCAACTGAAACTGAAGCATATACAAGCTTTTATACTGTAATACAAATTCTAGAAATCCATGAATTAAAAATAAGAATTAACAGAAACCTCAATAATAGAATCTAGAGTCAGCTTAAACTATAGGTATTTTCTTATTTCTGTGTTGTCTGAATACCAGTTGGATCATGGAACAAACTTGTTTGCTTTAAAATTGAATACATTAAAGCCATTGGGGCCAGCAAAAATAAAATCTTTGTTACAACAATAATTCAATACGGTAGAAGGAAATAAAATAAAACATTGGGGCTATCAGACAAGAAAAAGCAAGAATTAATGAAAACATTTTTTGAAACAAGATTCTATTGTATACATTGAAATAGTACAGTTCAATCTCTCTAACTTGATTTTGAAAATACTTTTTCAAAGCAACTTTGGCAAAATAGATTTTGAGTTGAGCAATGTTGCTTAATTTGAGCACATTACTTTATTCAATGGGAATTATCTTCTGTCCAAAATATTAGAACTGTTCATGCATATATTCTTAGATGTTTCAAGTGCAGGAATTCTTATTTATGGTTGTCTGGAACAAATGCTCTAAAACTTAGCCCTAATTTTCATGACAAAAAGACTTTCAACTCTTGGCCACAAAAAAAAACAGGTTTGCCCCATTAACAACCAAGTGGGGAAATTGGTGTACACTATGGGGATTTGTTCAAAATTCTACACAGTGACCCTGCTGTGCACCTGAAGTGTACCAAAGTTCTTTTGTTGCACATGCATATCCCCAATGTGCACCACTTGTGTGTTCACACCAGGATTACTCAGGGTCACATTTGTGAACAAATTAGTTACNTTCTGTTGCACATGCATATCCCCAATGTGCACCACTTGTGTGTTCACACCAGGATTACTCAGGGTCACATTTGTGAACAAATTAGTTACACCAAGGTTACAGTTGGTGCATTTGTGTGATGCTCCTGTTATTTCACATTTGTGCACCAAGTGTGACCCTGGAATGGTAGCAAAATTTCCTCTATACAGGAGTGCACACTTGTACCCCCAGAATATCCCATATGCTCCACAGTTGTGACCCTGGTGTGCACCTACTGTGGGGTCACGGCAAAAATAGCTCCCCACTCCAGAAGTTTTGGACTCCAACGAATTGGCCATAAATTCAAATTAAGTTAGGTTCCACTTGCAAGGTCTAATTGTATACTACACTACCTTAATTTTAGAGCAAATGGTCCTGATTTGAAGCATGATTATTTGTCTTACTGAAACAATTTCTGCTGGAAAAAATGGACAGTACAGTATTAACCTGTAGATTGAACTTGGCCTTGACTTTCTCCAGCAGAACCCAAAGCTTTACCTGCTGGCTGTGCTTTTGAGTTTCTAATGTCCACTGGCGACACCTGTCGGCGAATAATTGGCATTGGCTCAGTGAGTGGATCTTCTGCATCAGGGTCATGCTCTTCAGGTGATGAGGGTCCTTGAGGTGCTATTGGTTGGTGGGGACTTGGTCGTTGAAGTGTCTCTAGTCTGCTAATGAACCTCATGCGCCTCCAAGCTTCCATAAACGCCCTCCTGTGAAATGAGTAGATGTCGCTCTTTGACTAAATCTTGGTTTGTTTCAAGCTTTGCTCTAAGTGTTTATGGCATGCAGGTGTGTGTGACAGGTAAGTCACCTGGGGAAATTTTGAATCTTCTTCATCCCTTTAAGAGGTAAATTCATTTCAAAGAATCAATGCAGCTAAAAATATACTACAGTGTACCAAGCAAAATATTTGTTATAACAAGATTTTCAAATCAATGAATGGAACATTTTTTTGAACTTCAAGTTTTTGTAAGCAACTCCTGCACAGATTTGTACGGGGTGGATGTTCCAAAGTAGTATTGTATTTGAAATTATTGACCAGAAAGATTGTTTTGAATTATAAATTTGTCTATTCAAGATCTTCCTTTTGTGGCTTTTTCACAGGTTTGAAAAACTGTGATCTTGAAAAAGAAATTCCAATGCCATCAGTAAAAAACTTTTATATTCTCAGTGATGGGGAATTAACACTAACACTTTTTTTTAGCTTCAAGTTTTTTAAAGCAATTCCTGCCCAGATTTGTAAGGGGTGGATGTTTCAAAATAGCATTGTTTTTAAACTTATGGACCAGAAAGATTTTTTGAATGAAATGTTCATACATTCAAGATCTTACTGCTGTGGCTTTTTTCAGATGTTTGCAAAACTGTGATCTTCAAAAAGAATTTCAAATGTCAATAACAAACATTGATACTCTCAATCATGGGCAGTATACACTAAAACCTTTTTTTTTGAACTTCAAGCTTTTATCAGCAATTCCTGCACAGATTTGTAAGGGGTGGATGTTCCAAAATACTATTGCATTTGAAATTATTGACCAGAAAGATTGTTTTTAATTATAAATTTGTCTATTCAAGATCTTCCTTTTGTGGCTTTTTCACAGGTTTGAAAAACTGTGATCTTGAAAAAGAAATTCAAATGCCAGTAAAAAACTTTTATATTCTCAGTAATGGGCAATTAACACTAAAACTTTTTTTGAACTTCAAGTTTTTGTAAGCAATTCCTGCACAGATTTGTAAGGGGTGGATGTTGCCAAGAAGTAGTACAGGGTTTCTCAAGCATCCAAATTCCAAACAAGTCCAGCTCCCCCCCTTTTGTAACACGAGTTTCCCTATTTCTGTTTTCATCTAACCAGATTTTTACTGCATTCACAGCAGATTGCACATTTGGTACTTTCCTGTTATCCCTGTACCTTCCCTCTGACCAATTTAACCTGACCTAACCTAACTTCACCTAACCGCCTGCCAAAATCAGTTTCTGCTTTCTTTGGGTTTCTGCTGAAACTGATTTTGGAAGGCGGTTATGTATAGTTAGGTTATGTCAGGTTATGTTAGTTAAAATATATTTGTCNTTTGGAAGGTGGTTAGGTATAGTTAGGTTATGTCAGGTTATGTTACTTAAAAGATATTTGTCACTAACATAACCTAACCTAACCTAACCTAACTTTACCTAACCGCCTCCCAAAATCAGTTTCATCAGAATGCGGAAAAATAAAATTCACAGTTTCTGGTAGGTCGTCGTGATTATGAACTCATCCTAAAGATTTGTCTGGATGGTAGTGTGGTCTAGGAATGAGGTACTGAGATAACAGGAAAGTACCAAATAATTCACCTGTATTCCTGGGATTCCCTGGAGCTCACAAAGACCCTCACACTGACAAAGGGATGAAAGCCAACCCTGCGTTGAGGATCCTGCAACTGATGATGATGAGCCCTATTTGACTTGATCTTCACCTTGGCTGTCCTTTTTATCCTGGATAACTTGCCCATTATTGGGTCTTCATCAGTTTCTCCCACACCTCCTGTACTGTTATTGTTCCTCAGGCTGCCTTCAGAGGAACTCTTGCCTGGCACAATTTCTGGACGCCTGCTGATGTTATCAACCATCGGAGTTGTGTTTCTTCGCAGTATGGGTGTGAGTTGTTTTTTCTTTCCCTGATGATGAACACGTTGCGGGTCCGAAGATGATGATGAGGTTATTGAAGGTGATCGGAAGCTCTTCTTGGTCGGCATTATTCTTCCTTTATTTTATTTTATTTTTTGTTCAAGAGGGAACTGAAGGAAGGTTTGTGGATGTGGGGGAAATTTTGGGTATAATATTTTCAAAGGTTGAGAGGAGGACATATGTACAGTGAGACCCCCACATGCAGACACCTTGACATGGGGACAATTTGACTTGGGGGCATTTATTTTTCATTAAAAAAATCATAAAAAGAGGCCTGACATATTCAGACACTGACTCGAAATGAGGACATTGCATGATGAAATTGGCAATAAATTTGAGGAAACTTGACTTTCATTAGGCTTAATTGCAAGAAACAGATATTTCCAACCTTTAAGATCTATGCAAAAAAACATTTGTTGGTACTTTCTCCCATCATTTTCCCATCCATTCAGCTAATTTGAAAAAAAAAATTTAGTAGATTTAAAAATTAATCTAAAAAACCACGTTTTGAAAAAGGAAAAAATAACCTTAAATGTGGTGCGCATCTATTTCATTTGTATTTCACTT